CGATCAACAATGATCTCCACAAGCAGGTACAAAAAATCTCTTCCGGAAGCCATCTGCGTCAGCTCTCACCAGCTGTCGCGGCGTATAAAGCACATACGCACATGTTCTTCACAAACTAGTCACAGATATGGATCTACCTTCAATACTTATCCATCACGGTACTCCCGTCCGTGTTCGATATCACGAATGTCCGACTTCACTGTCCGACATGTTCGACTGTTCTTTTATTTATTAAGATCCCATTTCACCAACACTCCGCATGCCATCCTACTCCCCCATCAGTGTTGTTTGCTTTGTTTGTGCCTCACACCAATAGATTTGATACAGTACTGTCTCGTCCCCAACATTGACTGTGAGGGTGGCAAGTGTTGTTGTTGTTTGTTGTTTGTACATAGGTCTCAGGGCTCTTCTTCCACAAATAACTAGAAAAGTTTCCCATCATTAGAGAGTATCTTAAGTAGATTTGACTAGTTGAGATCATGGACTACTATGAATGTAGATGGGAACTACTAGCAGATATGACTAAATCCAAGGCCCATTACTCCAGTGGCGATGGTGTCTCTCATTGCAGTTGCAGTCAATCTTGTGTTGACACAAACCATTCTGTTGGTCTTGGTGTTCAACACAGTGAGAGGTGCAATGGCAACGAGTTGGTGGATGGTCTTCACGTCCTTAGTGTCATGTGCATTTGGAGCAATGAGGGTGTCCACAACAATCAGCTGTAATGCTGGAAGGAGTTCAGAGTCAGGACGAATTCCCTTCGCTGGATCATCGTTGATGAAAAGAGCTTTTGCTGCCTGGAGTTCCAAGGTGTTACCAAACAATTTTCGTAGACTGGTTCTGGCTGGTGCTTATCGTCGACGAAGATGAACTCAATCGCTTCCAAGGGACTGAAGTCGTCGGGCTTGGACATGTTCCAAAACAATCAACAGTCGATGTGTGAATGAGATGGGAAATGCAAAAGGGAAGTTGATGAGTGCAGACTCGTATTGCACTGGCAAGGGAGTATTGGTGTTGTAGTAGCTTGTTGGCGCAGATAGACAGTAGCGTTACAAAGGGCTGTATAACCTGTCGTACTAGCAGATATGACTAAATCCTAATGCAATGCAAATGTAGATGAATGAGAAATAGTGAGCTAGATAGAATATGGTAGATCTATGGAAAGTATGGTGACTGTATGTTGTATGGTGAACCAGGATAGATCTTACACAACATGTGGCTACTAGCCAATTTTTGCAGGTTGTAGAACAGAGTCGGAGAGGGAGTTGAAAAACAAGCATGCTTGCAATATCTAGAACTGGCAGCTCTTTTATTTTGTCTTCATATTGTGGAACTTTGATTCAGCAGCTGCCAACTTCTGCTTAAAGTAATCCTGAAGTAGAGGTTAATGTAGTTTTGGACTTGGTGAATTACACACTTTTTCAGTGAGAAAAAGCGCGTCAACATACACCATGGATGAGGGTCAGGGAACTATGCCTGCAGGCGTGGGTGTGCCAGCGATTTACTTGTAGCTCCACTCGGCTGGATTTCGTCATATCCCAACACACTCCTGCCATTGTGACAATCACCATTGGCAGCAATGGGACATGCTCTCATTCACTGTTTATTTTGTTTTGCATTTTCATTTTGAACATATACATAGTTGTCTGACCTATTCCTGTGGACCAAGAATCAGATCCCTGAACTTACAGAAAAAATAATATCAGAAAAGAAACAACACGCAAACATGCAGAACCAGCCAATCTGCTCCGCGTAGCGCTAGTACTGATTTTACATAGCAAAAATTGAAATTATCATCAACAAACGGCAAAACACTGGTTTAAACATGGGCAAATCTCCAGCTCCGAAGGCTGCCTCGGCTAATACAAAAAAGCTGGGCGTGGTAAAGTCCAAGGCTTCCTCTGTAGGAAAAAAGCGATGAAAAAACGACTGGAAATTGATTTGGAACCAAAGACAGAGATCCTGTCAATTCCAATGATGTTGACATCAAGCAAATCGCCGATGCCCAAGACGCTCTACGAATGGCCGACGAATTTGAGGCACGATGAATTGCTGAACGAGATGAGCGGTGTAGAGAGGAATGCAATAAACTGGTTCCTAGATTATCTGAGCGGTGGTCAAAGAAATTATACTCTAGTGAAGTTGTCAATCATGACAGAATTGTATCAAGAACAGGTTTCATGACTCGGACCAATACGATTTGTACGTTAGCAGTCTTATGGGTCTTGTAGTAATTAATAGTAAAATAGATATGAACGTGTCGTCGGATGAGAACAGTTGGAACTATGCGCACCAAGTGCATCAACTGTTCGTCAATTCCAGATCGACTCATCGCGTCGTGTTTTGTTTACCTTGAATTGATATATTATCTTCTAGTGTAATCTCGAGCGTTCACCCAAGAATAATAATATTCTGTCAGATTAACAGTCGCAGTTACGCACCATCAGCTAACTGCCGCCGTTTTTCCCACAGAAAAACGCCCTCTGCTTCCCTCAGAAGCAATTTCACAAGTCTTTGTCAATTCATTGGCATTTTGGTCCATTGCAACACTCACACTTGCGATCTGGCCCTGTCCTTTCCGACACCTACAGTCGAAGACCAGAGTTTTACCTCTTTCCTCTGGTTCATCAATCTCAAAGGTTTTATAGCTGCCGCGTTTCAAAGTCGACTAAACTTTATTTGGATCACCATACCCATCACTGTCGACGACTACGCAAAGACCCAACGGCACAAAAGGGTATTGGATTCTATTTTAATTTCGGTGGTTCTAAATTTCGGTTGTCCAGCCCTGTTGGAAACTGAAAGGAGTCAAGCGCTGGGCATCCGCCGAACCCGTGCTTCCCCCACGTGTCGTCTTTTGCTTCCGGTGTTGAGAAACCCACCACAAAGACAACTCGTGAGGTTCATTGCCCGGCTGTACTGCAATTAAACGAGGTGGTTCTCGTCCCTAATCGCAGGCAGCGGCACACAGATCGATTTATTTTAATTGACTGAAACTTGTTCTGGATTTTGTACCCTCGTGAGTACAACTTCCCGCAGTCCTTCCCAGCACCCCCGGAGTTGATCGTCGTTGCGTGCACAACGACTTTCGGCGTGCTGCATTCCTTTTTTTCCACTTGACAACCAGCCAGTTTTCGACCGGGCACTTGTTGATCGTTGGAACACCGGGACGCCTATACCCGTAAAGGTCAAGGGGTTTCATCCAGCCTCTTGTAGTCTTCTGCAGCCAGTCTCTTACAGACTCAGAAGACCAGTCTCCGTATTCGCACCTGTTGTTGACTACGGCGGTAACCGGATCTACAAAGGTCAAGGGAGATTAAAAGTCCATAGAACACGGACGACTCCTTGTTCCAACTTTTGGGACCTTCTTTTTCCGTCCTGACCTGCAAAGACGTTCAAGAAAACCAGGAAAGCCTCACAGCAATCCTTGGGACTAGTGTGACCGTAGGGTATCCACTAGTACGGAACGTCAATCACTCGAGCCCTTCTCTTTAGGGAACCACTCAACCGACCTTTGCGTTAAGAAGTTTTGGGACAGGCATCGTCCCCAGAGTCTTCGCTCTTGTGAGAGGACTCTTCCCCTACTTTTCCACCCCACAACAACAAACCAGACATGTCAACTAATCAGAGCGGTATGAACTCCACACCTGCTCCTACCGCTGGTGCTGCCAATCAACCTGTCAGCCCTGCAACTCCAACTGTTGGCAATACTGCCGGTATGCCTGCCAATGCTACCGTGCCCCCTGGTTTTACTCTCGCAAGCCTTGAGTTTGCTGTCACAAACCTCTTTTGAGCGTCTCTCAACAGTCCACTCATGCTTGCTCTTTGTCGTGATGGATGTATTAACTTCATGGACCTCCTCTCTTACAGTGAGGCTGAGCTCCTGGAACTGAAGTACGATGCACCCATTCTTGACGCACAAGTGGTGGATACTGGCCAAACTCAGCTTACTCAGCTTGAGCGGCCCCATCGTGGCACTCTTCGGGCTTTACTTGGGTATGCTTACCTTCGTCAAAACGTCCATCGCGATCCGATCACCCCGATCAATTGCATGAACATTGACGTACAAGCATTCTTCAATTATCAATGTAGTGGTGACTTTATAGTTTTTAATAATTCTTCTTTCCCACAACCTTTTGTCTCCAAGCCTGATCATCGCAAACCTATTGACTCGTCCCCTGATACTCTCCTTCCAACACAGATGGAGACGAACCCAGACAGCCATCTAGCCACCGTACGCAACAAATTTGCACCCAAACATGGGGAGCTACAACGGCCAATGAGCGAGGAATCAGACCGCCAAGCTACAGTAGACGTGATCAGTAATCAGTATAGTGATACTACTAGTCTGACTACTATTGTTTCTTCCGCTCTACAACCTAGTATTCGCACATCTGACGGTGTCAATATACTCAATGGTAGTCGTGCCACACAACTTGTTGGCGCACAAAGCACCATGAGTAGACCAACACAGAACAAGAGTGACATTGCAAATGATGTCATATTCAACTCCAACCTTGAATGGGACCAAACTCTATTGGATCCCAACATTGACAGGCTGGACGAACAGGGCAAAGGTGAGAGACTATTTGATAGAGTAGGCATCCTAAAGAGTAGTAAAACTATTTTAACTCTGAATGAAGCCTCTGAAGATGAGACTCTCGACAACCAGATGATTTCGACACTGCTATGGATCTGAATGACACTGGCATCGGTAATGCCACACTCGTCTCCAACCTTGACTCGGACCAAACTTTATTGGACCCAACCATTGGCGATCTTGGCGGTAGCGTATCTGCCAACAGCACTAGCCACGGCTTGCTCCTTCAGTTGCCAAAAGCGAGCATGGGGAGTGATTCTGATCTGATGCTCTTCTTCCTGAACAAGATGAGACTGACGAGTACCCAATGGATTTGGAGAATGGGGAGCAACAGTGTGTGATGTCTGATAAGTTGGCTGTCGTACCGGCTACCAAACGTCCACCGCCTACACCTCAACAAGAAGCCAAACAACACGAGTTCATGTTTTATGGAGTAAAATATAGATCATTTAATAACCATAATGTTATCTATTCTATTCAGAAAGCCAACACTCGTAAACATCTAGCTTTGATTGATAAAGGTGCCAACGGTGGCATTGCTGGAGACGATGCCCGCATCATCATTGCAATCATACGCCAACAAGCCTACATTGGAAAGGGTCAATCCATTCTGTCCAGCGGACAAATGGAACATTTCAAGATTGTTGTGGACGACAAGTCTACCAAAGTTGGTGGTCAACAGCGTTTGACAACACAAGACGGCTCCGTCTTACCACTGGACATCAGAAGTGGCCTCCCATATCTGCGAATGCATCCACCAACAGATCGTGAGCTGAGTAATCCCAACATCCCACATGTCGTGCTCACTTCTGATACTGATTGGGACCCAAGTGTATTGGATCATTCGATCGACAATATGAAAGAATGGGCAAAGTCCGTTCCCGACCATGATCCTGATGATGGAGAACACCTGTTTGATCTTGTAGGAGTTCTTAAGAATAATGAAGCTGTTACTTCTTTTAAGGATTCTAAACTAGATGAAACCATTGATTTCTTTGAAAACTTCAATTGTGTTTTTCCAACTGACAGACCTGTACGAACAGCACCATCGCGCGTCCGACAATCTCACATGGTTTAACTGTAGCATGGCCGACCTATTTGGCTTTGGCGCAGCACCAGAAGATTCACCCATCCCTGAGTGTTTCGAGGTCTACGAAGCTCGTAAGCCCCCTTCAATACTGTTCAGCCCAGGACAATCGGTCAACTACGATATCGAGTCAGCTCCTTTGAAAGACAGCTCTTTCAAGGACCTCATCCTCGATTCGGACAAACCGACTAGCAGGACACCTCATGGGGAGATGGATCATTGTGCACCGCCAAGAGTATATTTCAATGATACTCTGACTGTCCACGAGAGTACTAGTTGAATCCTAACTACTATAAAGAAGTCTACTCTAGACGATGCTGTTGCTTTCTTTACTGACTTTGTACTGGAAGACGACTTGCTCCAACAGTTGCCGGAAGCGAGCATGGGGAGAGATGATGCTACTAGTGCTCTTCCTCCTGTACATGAGGGGAACAAGTCAGATAGAGAGCCTGAGCAAACAATAGATGAGATAGCCACTAACGAATCTATTTTAGTTTGTACTCTTGGGATCCTTGAAGCTACTCTAGACTGTACTCTTGACTTCCTTGGGCCACTTGACTTTCATCTGATCGATCGTGGATTGAGCACCGCTAACATTCCAAATGCCACGCTCATTCACAAGTATTGTACTGATCACGACCAAAACGTATTGGACTCCATGGCTATTGGAACTGAAGAAGCCAAGCCGACATTCAAACAAGTAGATAGTCATAATTGTAATAGAGCCTTACTCTTTACTACTATGAACGGACATTCTGCTTTAGATTGTGCAATCGACTTCTTCCAATCCTTTGCCTGTGCGAATCCAATAGATGGACTCCATGAAGTCCATCGTCCACCAACTTCTGAACTAGCTAGACTTGAACGTAGCATGGAAGACCCTATCAACCTGGATCGCACCAGTGCAACTCAAGTCGCACTGCCAGAGCTCGAGATCTATCAGTCTCACAAGCAACCCCTAACTCAAGAGGCGCGCTTTGAGCTGGTGTTGTATCAATCTCTGAGCTGGTGTTGTATCAATCTCACAAGCAACCCTCAACCCAAGAGGCGCGCTTTGATGATGATACTCGAAAGCCTGACAGGAGAAATGGTCCACTACCTTGCAACAGCTTTGAGCATGGATTACAACCAACTGAGGTTGAACTGAAGAACCCAAGCTCGGCTGTGAAGTCTCGTGAACGCGATTGGGAGCGCCTTCGCAGCTACTTTGCATGGTTGCCCAAGCTAGTCATCCAGAAGAACTTGGAACACTACTTGGAAGACTCAACTCAACTAGCTACAATAACTACTATATATTACAGTATTGGCGCCTTCCAACTTTGTATCTACCTCTAGAGCTAGTCACCAAATCCGAGCCCGGCAATGCCGCAGCTTCCTACTTGCTGGAAAGCACAGATGCAGCACACTGAATCGCCAAGCTACAATGATAGTATCATTGAGCGGTCCCCAGGCCTACTATACCACCAATGTGCTTGGAGCGGAGCTAACCAAAGTCTTCACTTTGATGGCACAACTACAATAAGCTCAAGCGACAATACAATCACACATGGGCTCACTACGACCACAATCACTGTATAGATCTTTGTCACTGTACATTGGCAGTGGGCGACTTCCTCCATCGGACATACAATGATGACTGGACAAATTTGTCAATTGGACGGAAGCAATTTGAACAAAGACTACTAACTAAGACTGAAACGGTAAAAATTATTCACTTAGCAACTTGTCTATGTACCAACGCTTTCTACATGAAGCAATTGACCGCTTCAACTGAAGACCAAATAGATTCTGACCATATTGTTGCTCAGATTCATGGGGAGCAGACAACTGGTCTGCAACCACTGCTCAAAGACAATGAGCCACTCCTTGATGGCTTGCCTCGGCATATAACTAAACGGTAGAAGACGACATTGTACCACCTACACATATGGCATGCCTTGTTGCCATTACATCATGTGAACAAAGTTTTTCACCTGAAAATGTTTTCTTCGCCTCATTTTGATGGACCCAAGACTACTGAGACTGTTGCCAACAGCTCACCAAGACCTAATACGAAACCAGACAAGCGACATATTGTACTGTCGTTCCAACGTGGAAGAGAGGCTATTGCATCCAATACGCTCTCCTCTCTACACATCGAAGGTGCTAAACACCCGGCCAATATCCTTAGCAAAAGATATCAACAAATATGGCCACAGCTACGTACACTACTTTCATGAGTAGATGACACAGCTGAGGAGGATTAGGTCCTCACTCACTCACCCATTTGGGGAGTGACAGAATTGTATCAAGAATGGGTTTCATGACTCGGACCAATACAATTCGTATGTTAGCAGTCTTATGGGTCTTGTAGTAATTAATAGTAAAATAGATATGATGACGTGTTGTCGGATGAGAACAGTTGGAAGTTTGCGCACCAAGCGCATCAACTGTTCGTCAATTCCTGATCGACTCATCGCGTCGTGTTTTGTTTACCTTGAATTGATATATTATCTTCTAGTGTAATCTCGAGCGTTCAACAAATAATAATAACATTCTGTCAAATCAAGCACTGCAAAGAATGGATCGCATTCAAACAGGCAACGCCTTATTTGCAGCTTGGGATGATCAATATCCAGGCGCTTGGAATCAACCTTGTTTGCGATTTGATGCCCTGTTCAATGACTATGCAGGCACATCAACATGCAACGATCGATTCATTCAGATTTTTACTTATCTCAACTCTGATAATGCCCAGCTGGCCCAATATCTCATATCCTCCTTCAACCTCTTCACGATTGAGGATAAAGCAGCTGAAGACGTCTGGTCAATGCGAGTTCTTGCAATGCAAATTTCATTGCAGAACCCTTTCTCGTTTTTTGGCATTGACGAATTCCAAAAAAATCAGAACAACAATCAATTTTTTGATGGGGACAAGTCGGATCCTCGACTTTGTCTGGTAAATCCTTTGGTTGGCTTTTGGTTGATTTGTTCTGAATTGTTTGATTATCCATGGGCGACAACCTTTGACAACGACTATTATAACGAGCCGCCGTCGTCAATCATCCGTGGCATCAAACAAAAACGTTCAGCACCTTTTCAGTCCTTTTTCCGACCAGAAAGTTCAGCCCATCACACTCAACAAGCAATTCAGAAGATCAGTGATCCAATGAATGACAAATTGGACAATGTGGTAGGCCAGTCCCATCTGGACAAAGCGACTTTAGCGGATCAACGGAAGCGCCATCGTAATCTGACCGACAATAGATATGATGCACTGGTGGATGATGATGAATCGATTGGGACAAATGCTGACGATGCGGAGGCTGCGGACGACAACGCCACTACCATTGACGGCGATGCCTACCAACAACCAGATCAGGACGATGATGACGATGAAATACTAGTGACAGCGGTTTGTAACAACCCAAGGCGCCCACCACTTTCTTCAGATGACGATGACAATGAAGAGGATGAGGATGATGAGGATGTGGCGAGCAACGCTGGGGAGGTTCAGTCAGAGTATGTAGAAGCACCGGGGAGGTCAGAAGACGACAACATGGCGGTTGACGGCTTGACAAGCCCTACTCAGGTCTCTCAGGATAGCTCTTCATTGATAAACACACCTCCACCTACACGTCGCCTACCTCCACCGCCCACTCTTGCTGAGAAACTTAACAAATTAATTCAAGTTAACTTGGATGGGATGACATGCAGATGTCATATTTTCGAGACCACATTTGCGACAAACTACTCGGGATCGGACTCCGGCACGGTTGCTGAGGCAATTTTATCTGCGGTGCTGACGTCAATGGAGGAAGCTTTGAACAACTCGTTTCACAAGTTGAAGATCCTTCCTATCTCCGACGACACTTATAAACAACAGAACCGGTGGATCCGGAACTCGGTGGAGTTACGCAACAAAATTTCGTCTTACCGGGCCCTGAGTCTCTACTGCGATATGGAATATGGGAATTCTCCTTATGCGGCAACCAACAGCAAGCCTGGCAAGAAGAAACTACGGACCTGAATGCGGGTGGGCTTTGCAAGGGACAAGTCGGAAGAGGCGGTCCAAGACTATCTTCACACTGGTCTACGTTCGCAGGGTCGTGGTGCAGGATGTTACCCTTTGTCGCTTCAATATGGTGACATTGTTAAAGTGGGTTGCTTTGCCTTCATTCCGCCGGAGGTTAACTTTGAAGCCTACGCAAAATAAATCATGCGTCACTTTGACTTTGCTATCCCTATTGGAATCAAGATGGATTGGGTTCCTACTCCTTACACAGGACGTGCTAAATTCAACGAACGTTCCCCCGGTGTAACAAGTCCCCATGGGTACGCCCCCAAGATTCATCCCAAAAGAGTGGATCGAGAATTAAGAAGCCTTCTTCATCCATCCACAGCAAAGTCAGACTTCCCCTTTGCTGCTCCGGCTACATTTATTAGTGATTAGAAGTCTGCTCAACAGGGACTGATTAGTGTGAAGGCCTACGGTCCGGTCAAGGACGCTAACCTCACCCTTATTAGCAAACTACGTGACTACTATATTGTGACAGAGGTCCTGTATTCGGCCATGGACCTTCCTGGGATGTTCAAGTTCACTACTACCACTATGTTTGGCGCATGCACCTTGTTCAAGCTTCTCTTGTCAATCAACGCAACCCAACAAAGCTTCGCATGCTCACCAATCAACAACTGCGACTGTTGACTCGGATGATGACTCTTCTGACAATGATTCCAATGTAGCCTCTGCCTCTAAAGACGGCCAATTCACGGAAGTTCAGTCTAAGGCGGGAAGTTATCGAACCACGTTTCGCGTGCAGCGTGCAGCGTGCAGTGCATTTCATTTTTTTTGCTGCACCCTGCACGCGTGTTTAAAGTCGATAGCACAAAACCGGAAAAATCGTGCATGCATTCACCTCAAAAAAAGGGCAGTCGTATTGGTCGTACATCAATTACTTTTGTACTATAATTTTATTTTGGCATAGTAAGTACCGGTACAGTTATGTTGAATTGCATGGCATCATAACCAACGACGAATTCTGATAGCTGAGCGTCGTACCTGCCGCTCATCATGTCACCCGATCCCTCAAGCTCAGACTCATCAATGTCATGGGATTCATCAAGCTCCTCAAGTCCCTCCTCAAGCTCAAAATCATCCATATCATCGGAGTCTTCAAAAAGCTCCTCAAGCTCCTCAGATGATTCCTCAAGCTCTTCAAGTGACGAAATGGATATCTCTGCCTGCTCCCAGGATTCTTTACTCAATATTCCTGACGAATTGCTGTTCGAAGCCTACCTGAGGAGGGCAAGCAAGATCAACTACACAGTCTTCGAATTCGGCTGCTAGTAAATTCTCTTCTTGAATTTTAGCTCCCTCAGTACTTCTTGGTGTTGTAGTTGTAGTTGGTGTTGATGTTGGTGTTGCTACTTGTCGAACTCCCACATCGTGTGTTGCCAGAACGTCGCTTCCGCCGCATTCCTTGGAACAGTACCAGTGACCGTCTTCCTTGCTAATTGACATCAACATATTTTCCTGTACACACAAATTGTGGACTCCGCATTTACATTGAATGCAAGCATGATTCGGATGGAGAGAATCATGTTTGCAGTTTCGGATGCTGCAAAAGCCATTCGAATGTGATACTGCAACTTTGGCCCAAACTCTTCTACCGACTAATTTGGCGGCAGTATTTTGGCCACTGGGTGGCAATCCTTTGGCTCTACTTTTTTGTTTGTTCAAACCAATGTTGTGATGAAGGTTATCATCTTCCTCGCTATCAGAGTCTAGTGCAAAAATTGACACGGCATTAGTCATGGTAAACTAGTGAAAAGAGCAGAAGATCAAGTGCTATGAAGTCTTTTCGTATTTTGATGTGAATTGTGAGTTGAGGTCTTCGAAACCATTATTGAGAATTGGCCAATCAAAATCGTTCGATTTCAAAATGCACCGTGCATGGACAATCGTCCAGCATGAGCCAAAATGGATGCAGCTCAAGGGGGGTACCCGGAAGTAACTGTCCAGCGTGGAAAAATTCACGCTGCATGCATCATTTTTGGTTCGATAACTTCCCGCCTAAGAAGGCGGCGACAAAGGTGAAAAAGAAGGCAAAGAAGAAGAAGCAGCCGATCACTGACAATGAGAATCCGTTCCTTAATGATCTCTCCCCAGCCCAACAAAAAATGGCTGAGGCTGCTGACCGTAAGCTGAAGAATGATCAGGAGCGTCACAAGTCCGGTCCGTTGTTCTTGATGGTTCTACCAGGCAAGATGGAGGGCACCTACATCCTAGTGTGTCGCAAGAAGTTTGGACAATTGGCTCATAACGTCTTGAAGGGCTTGGTCCCCTTTCTTACTCATCACCTGTATGAGCCAACTCTGACAAAAACCGAACAAGCCCTTCGTAAATGGGTTCGCAATCAGAGATCCATATAGCTTGGCGTAAGAACCTCAAATGGTGCACAAACACCCTTCGTGCAGTGGAGGCTACCGCATCGCCAGACGCGGTGGAAGAAGCACTAGAGTTTCTGGATGATGTTATGGAAGATGCAATGGATGTCTATGACGGCCAGCTCTCGATTGATTTGGACATGGCTAACAACAAAGACATTGATGATGGGAAGACCGTGACGGGAATGATGGACAAGATGCAGGAATGATAGCAACAACTGGAAGATGCCTTCAATGAGATTGAGATTCAGGACAATGCACTTGAGGCTCAGGAGCGCGCCTTGGCACACCAACGTGCGGACAATGCGGCACTGCAGGCACAGCTTGCTGCTCTTCAGAGCCAGGTCAGCCATCCACCTACCATGATGGTTCATCCACCTCCCACTCCACCTCACAACAATCGCATGTCCCCTGACCATCAAGCATTGACTCCACCGGTCAGACCTAACAACAGAACCTTAGGCAAGTCATCTACTGGGAAGAGCTCTATTGTTCCCAATACAGTGACAAAACCAAAGAAGGCCATCAAGCAGGGCAAACCTAAACAACCAGCCAAAAAGGCCCGTACAAGTGCAGGTGTCCAATTTCAGGAAACATCTCCTGCTCAAACCTTGGCGGCCCCGGCTGTTCAAGTAGACATGTCTCACATGGAAGGGGACAACACCACTGCTGCGTCTCAAGATGAGAGCCAAACCTCATCTCTTACTGCGTCTACCCCGCGAGGTGGAGGGCCTCCATTCTTCTCTCCTCCTCCTGGGAAGGCTCCGAGTGATGGCGCCAGTAAATCTTCTCCGTCCGCCCGTGAAGCTCCCCGCTCCGCAGAGGGGACATGAGAGGCCCACGATCGTCTGCAGCTAGGTCACGGCGTGCAATATTCCAAAAAAAGCAAAAAGTAAAAACAACACGCACATCCGGGTTCTAAGACACCCCTTCTAGTACTTCTCCTACACGGAGCAGCCGTAGCGACGCTGGAAAAGAGGTTGTTTTCAACTGGAAAACCAAGGGTCGAGATGAGCAAAAGAAAGACAGGCAAGGTCCCCAGAGCACAAACAGTATCCGAAATTGATTCATATTATGCTCCTGTAAGCCTTGTCCAAAAAGAACGGGGAAAAGTGGCCAAAATCTGCCCATTTGATGCCTCTGCCTTTTTGGGCCTGTTGGACGGCGATGACAGCGACGAAATCACTGATGACGAGGAGGATAACATCAAGATTCACGGTCAGAAAGCAAACTGGGATATCTATTATTTCAGAAGTCATTTTGTCCAAAAAGAACAAGCAAAAATGGTCCAATCTTGCCCATTCTTCGCACCCTTTTTGGGCATTCCTGATGATTCTGGCGGTGCCATCAAATCAGTTTCCGATGATGAGGAAGACAAGGCCATCCGAAAGGTCTCCAGCGCCCGAGCACCATTTCCAATGGACCTCCAAGATGCTGTTGAGGATAAACCTTTCCAGTATTATGCTGACAAATTTGAAAGGTCCCCCAAACACACCTATTGCGACAATCCAACCCTTGGCGACCTACTATTGCAAGGAAAGTGCTATCTCTTCCATCAGTCTTCTGTCGGTTGGCAGATGCCTCAATTTGATTTCCCTTTATGGATGTTCAAATGTTGGCATCATTCCCACGGACAAGTAGGCACAACACCACTGATCTTCAGCCTCACCATGCCAAGATACAAACTACTGGCTCTGACCCTCTTTGCTTCTCCTTAGACCACAACCAGCCGCCTTTTTTATGCTTGTACCAACCTCAATGTTCTGGGACACTGTGCCCATGGGACGCTCTCCATTCATTTGGATCGATATATTCAGGGTAGAAGGGAGCAAGAACACAAGGTTAAATCAAGCTTCAATACAGGCAAGCACAACAAAAGAAAAAACACAGAAAACAAAATAAAAATATGCCGCCTCAAGTGGCAAGATTGTCTCTCTACATGTGCAAGGGTGCAATGTAATATGCGATAGAGCAACTTCCTTGGAATTGGATGCCTCAAACTGGTTCAACAGTACTGGACTCACCTCCGTATGGTAAATGGCCATGACAGCCGTTAACGGCAATCTAGAAACTTGAGATAGTTTTGACACGATTAATGCATCAGATTTATTATTATTATAGGTCACGGCGTGCAGGCAGAAGATCCCGTATTAGTGGCCCGTCAAGTGGAGTCTCTCATGCTTCACTTGATGAATATTTACGTTCTCTTCCAGCAGGAGATTGGTCTGGCAATGATCACCGTCGTCATTCTTCACTGGCTACTCGAGTCTGTTTCCAGAATGTCAACGGATCACCAGAAAATGGCAATGACCCCAAGCAGCAACAGATCAACTCCTGGCTGAAGGAAGAACGAGTGGGAATTGCTTTGTTGGCAGAAGCCAAGACGTTCTGGCCTTCTATCAACGAAGGTCATGGTTGGAGTGACAGACTCCGCCAAGCTACGATGAAGTCCGAGCAGAAAGGGTTTTACTTGTCGATAGCTTACAATCGGCATCAGGACAGATCTGCTGCCACCTCAGCGGTACAATGGGGCGGGTGCATTGCAACTGTTTTGAACCAAGTGGCGCACAGGGCTAAGGAAGCTGGCAGAGACCCCACAAGTTTAGGACGATGGGCCTATGTTTGTCTCCAGGGAAGGAAGTTGAAAGCCCACGGGGGTAATGTCCAGGACTCTTTGCTCGGCTGCCTCCAACCCCCGCTTCTTCCATGAACCTGTGTCTTTATTCATCGACGGTGTTAAGTCTTCCAAACTGGATCAGGCTCACATCATGGAGCTGGTCTCTCTTCCTGCCCTTCGAGCATATTGG